GAGAATTAGCTGTACTGGAGCAGCAATACCTGCACAACCACAAGTAAAAGTAGGGTCCTACAAGTACAACGAAGGGGAAGTTTCTCTTTCCAAGATTCTTGACGATCACACGATCAACTTAAGTTATGACCTCCATTTTCATTTGAAGTGAAAGCTAACTTCAATAATTCCTTCCAGGATTCGGGCTTGAAAAATATGGAGCCACATTCTTTCTTTTTCAAAAGCAATATTGGAACAAACTGGCATTACAGGGCAGATGTAATCTACGCGATGTTGTGTAAACACAATGTGCAAAATTACACATGCTAGCAAACTTGCTGAAAAGCAGTCAAAGGTCGATTAAGAGCACCAAAAAAATTTAAACCTTTTTTTTCACGATTTAAAAATAAAGTTGATCAATAAACTTGACAACAAAAATCCTTGAGTATGTTGTGTGTTTTTGATTTTTAGAAAACATGTAAACGAGTTTTAATTTAATTTATTTTAATGATAACAAAAGTATGTGAGTGGACGAGACTGACAGGTCACAAGTCATGCACATGCCTAGTGCATTTTGTTGAATGGAGCTCAGCTATCCAAGCTGCTGCACTGACAATAGGGGCATTGTTGATGCGACCACGGACCCAGATTAAGCTTGAAAATGTCCTGGAAATCCTGTGGTTGAGTTACTAATCCTCTGAAGTGGTTTATGTGGCTCTTGCTTTTTCTGTTGAGTAAGGAATCAACCATTGTACAGAGACAAGTGGGCATTTTGTGGTCGCTTTTCATGGCTTGCGGTCGTTCTGTACAGACTTAAGCATTCCTACGGAAGCAAAATGTGCGATCGCTGGTCGCGTTAAGCAGGTGGTCTTTCTATACAGGACTTAAGTAACGGGATTTGTCAGCGGGGGATTTTTAAATGGTCGTTACGGACAGGTGGTCTTTGTGTACAGTGGGTCGCTAAGGCAGGTTTGACTGTACTTGCAAAAAACAAGACTCGGGAAACATATACTTGCAAAAAACAAGACTCGGGAAACATATACTTCCAAAAAACAAGACTATTACTAAAAATAGACTTCACAAAAACAAGACTCGCGAAATATACTTGCAAAAAACAAGACTCGGGAAACATATACACTGTACTTGCAAAAAACAAGATTTGCTAAACATATACATCCAAAAAACAAGACTTGCTAGACATATACATCCGAAAAACAAGACTTGCTAAACATATACATCCGAAAAACAAGATTCACCAAACATATACATCCGAAAAACAAGATTTACCAAACATATACTTGCAAAAGAGCAATGTATACATTCGATGGCACTAACGGGCTTTCGTATTATTTCATTTTGTTCCCGTTGTTTCTTTAGTGTGTGTATTTAATGTGAGTGTAGACGTATGTATGTCAACTAGGTTGTTTGTTTTTATGGTTTGCATTTTTCTCTCTGGGGAATGGAATTGCTTTTGTTTCTCGGTTTTGTTTTGTTTGTTTGTAATAATATTTTTAGCCCGTTTGTCATTCATTCCCGTTATTGAGTCCGGTTGTTTTGTTGTTTGTTTGTTTGTTTGTTTGTTTGTTGGGTTGGGTTGTAAGAGTATTTATCTATTAGTTCGTTTTTATATTTAGTATCTGTCTGGCTTGTCCAATGTTTCACTCTATGATTTTTTTGCTGAGTCTTGTCTCATCTCCCCGTCTTGTCTCGTCTCATCATGTCTCGTCATGTCTCGTCTCGTATGATTTGTACAATTTACTTTTCAATAGTACTTTAATTTTTATGAATGGAATTTTAAATCTGTTTTATTGGCAGGGGTTTGGATAAATGTCTGATGACAATTGTTTTGTTTTACTTTTACATATCCGTGGCAGCCTGTCCAACTTTTAGCTTTTATTTTATGCTTTAAGATTTAAAATAAAATAATTGAATCAAATAAATCAAATAAAGTTTCTTCAAGTCTTTATTACGCTGGAGATTTCCCGATGGCAGTACATATGAGAGGCAGCGACCTAATCCGGCCAAATTACGATTTGTATTCTAGTTTATCTGTAATAATAAAGAATTTTGGCCCCTGCACTTGAGGGTCTGTATTTGTAGAAGTGAAGGGTCCATGTTCCTGAATTTGGATTTCTGAACAAAACATTTGAATGGAATCTATATTGATATGGAGTGGAAGGAATCTGTTTGTTTTGGTTTTTTTTCAAAATGGCGATGGGGTGATCATCGTTGGAGGGAAAAAATCACCTAAAAGTCATAGGTCAACCCCCCCCCCCCCGCCCAAAAAAAAGATTTCCAAAAAGGTAAAGAGGATTAATTCAGCTTTCATTTGATGTATGTTTTGATCACCTGTGAGGGTTCAGAGTATGTTCCCCAATGTGTTTAAATTGGGGTATTTATCTTTGGTGCCTATGGGAATTATGTATTGGTGGATTCCCAGCAGGGCCCGTCGAAACTGTGCCTGTTCGGAGGGGCAGAGAACTGCTCATCTATACTACAATTCAAGGAATCTCTGTCTGTCTGTCCGTCTGTCTGTCTGTCTGTCTGTCCGCCGATTATCTCCAGAACTGGGCACCGTATGAAGTTGAAAATCGGCGGGTGTATTGCTCGGGACACCAGAATGTGCAGTGCCAAATTTGAAGGGGTTTGGAAGAGCGGTTGTCGAAAAAGCTGCAAAAAAGCAGCATTTTTTGAGACTCAACGTGGCAGAGTATAGCCTAGAACTCCACGCACTGCTGTTCTTTTCAATTGTTTACGTCATGTTAAAGCTAAAGCGCGCGTGCTCAATATGACGCAAACAATGCAAAAAGGACGAACACGCGCACGTGCATTGTAGGGCGATACCATTGTCCAGTATGGGTGAATAGCACTGCGTACCATATGTTTCCGTACGTGATGACTGCACGGGCACATGCATTTTGCAGTCGATTGAACCACTATTGTAGGCGGTGGATTGAGCAACCTTACTCACGTAGGTGAGTAGCTGCACGGGCCTATTGGTGAATATCAGTGCCGGGGATGGCCTGGCGACATGTACAAAGTGCGCTCAACCTATGAGTGTGAGTTTAACATGTGAAAACAACACAATTGAATCGTGTGCGTTGTTTGCATGATATGAGCATTTTGAAATTGCCCCTAACGAACAGGTGCATTTTTTTGACGGGCCCTGCAAAAATGACGGGCACATTGTAGGGCGATAAACACTGCACACTATGTCTTCGTACGTACATATACGTGAGTGGCATGCACGGGCACATGCATTTTGTACTCAACTGAGCAACCATCACTGCACTGTATGTGCCGGGGGGGGGGGGGGTTACGACATTTTGTGAGTTTAACTTGCGAGTGTGCTTTCACACCATTGAATAATGTGCGTTGTTTGCACGAGCTGCAGTTCTCAACTGCCCCTTCCGAACACGCACATTTTCGACTGGCCCTGCACTAGTCTATACTACAATTCAAGGAATCTCTGTCTGTCTGTCCGTCTGTCTGTCTGTCTGTCCGCCGATTATCTCCAGAACCGGGCGACGTATGAAGTTAAAAATCGGCGGGTTTTTTGCTCGGGACAGCAGAATGTGCAGTGTCGAGTTTAAAGTGGTTTGGACCAGCGGTTGTCGAAAAAGCTGCAAAAAAGCAGTATTTTCTGAGGCCCAGCGCGCCAGAATATAGCCTAGAGCCCGGCGCGCACTGATGTTCTTTTCAATTGTTTACGTCATGTTAAAGCAAGAGCGCGCGTGCTCAATATGACGCAAACAATGCAAAAAGGACGGGCACGCGCACGTGCATTGTAGGGCGATACCATTGTCCAGTATGGGTGAATAGCACTGCGTACCATATGTTTCCGTACGTGATGACTGCACGGGCACATGCATTTTGCAGTCGATTGAACCACTATTGTAGGCGGTGGATTGAGCAACCTTACTCACGTAGGTGAGTAGCTGCACGGGCCTATTGGTGAATATCAGTGCCGGGGCCCTGCAAAAATGACGGGCACATTGTAGGGCGATAGCACTGCACACCATGTCTTCGTGCGTACATATACGTGAGTGGCATGCACGGGCACATGCATTTTGTACTCAACTGAGCAACCATCACTGCACTGTATGTGCCGGGGGGGGGGGGTGACGACATTTTGTGAGTTTAACTTGCGAGTGTGCGTTCACACCATTGAATAATGTGCGTTGTTTGCACGAGCTGCAGTTCTCAACTGCCCCTTCCGAACACGCACATTTTCGACTGGCCCTGCACTAGTACAAACAACGCACCCGATTCAATGGTGTTATTTTCACAGGTTGAACGCATGCTCACAGGTTGAACTCACATTTTTTACATGTGGACAGACATAAAGAGATTTTATAGTAGGAAAACATGAGGAAGAAAAGTGTGCTATTGTTTATTTACCCCCAGTGGAGGTCAGCTATCTCTGTGCGCAGACACACACAGGCCAAATCTTTTATGAGACTTGGACAATGAGGCCTGCTAGCTACGCGTCTCTGTTGTGTTGTAAATTGTGACGTCACGCAACTCAGTGGCGTCATACGCATGCGTACACATGCAGGCCAAATCTTTCATAAGACACATCATGCATGGGGCCAATGTGTAGCTTTTTTTTGCAGCTTTTGCGAGAACCGCTCATCCAAACAACTTCAGCTTGACAATGCACATTCTGGTGTCCCGAGCAATACACCTGCCGATTTTCAACTTCACACGGTGCCGGTTCTGGAGATAATCGAAGTGCAGACAGACAGACACACAAGTTCCCGAAATTAAAGTAGAGATAATTGGTCAAACGTCACAGACCCCTTGGAAACGTTGTTTTGTGACTGTTCCATTATTTTCTCAGGGTTGAGAAGTTACGATTTTATATTAATTTATAAAATCGTAGTAGAGTGATCATAAATTTCAATTATATTTTATTTAATTGTATTTAAAAACTCGAAAGCCTTTTTTTAAGATCAAACAAAAGAAAAATTAAACAAGCGTGTTAGCGTTCTTCCTTTTGTGCGAACCCCCCCCCCCCCCCCCTGTTATGAATTGTGTCCCTACTCCCCAACACAGATTCAAGATGGCGGCTTACATGCAAGTGAGTTTTTCTAAAAAATGGTCTGAACCTAAATTCATTATTTTATTATGATAATTGATGGGGGTACTGAGGCTTTTATCACATACGATCGAAGATTGAACAAACTGCAGGTCGGTTTCGTATTTTGGAGAGTGATGGTAAAATAAAGCATTTGTGTTGATCTTGTTCAACGATCGTACCAGCCGGCCTGCTGTGCTGGATCATGATTTGTGTCCAATTTCCGGACAACTCATTTTTACCGCGTTCCCCGCTCGTAGGCCTACCCCTAGTAAGACCCATAGTTCTAGGGCCAGGGGTACCCCGCTCCCAGGCTCCGCGATTGAAATTACCCTTGAAAAAAATTTTGCAACCTGACGCCACTTTCGCGATTGTGTACAAATTCTATGGAGAGTCAAGAAAATGTTTTTAACTTAGGTAGTGGACATTTTGCCGGAGGTAACGCCGGCAAACTAACGTTTACTAAAGGTTTGCCCGCGGCAATCCATATCAACAGATGGCGCTGTACTCTTTAAGATAGGGCTGAATTATAACATGTATTAAATTCCCCCCCCCCCCCCCCCAAAGTTGTGTAGCACAGTCGGTGCAGTGGTTAAGCAATGGCTCTATTGAGTGGGATGTCCCGAGTTCGAATTCTGAACCCCGCAACAATTTTAAGGTTTTTTTTCCCATCCCCAAATAAATAAGAATATTCTTCTTTTATTATTTTAAAATGTCTCAAACATTTTATTGCAGAGTATTACTTTTTCTTTTTCAGATTTGTGGCTCTGGAGGATTTTTTTTTAAAGGGAAATAAAGTCAGAAATTATAAAATGGTCTGATTCCCATCTTGTAAATACAAAAATACAACGATAATATTGGCATGGAGCCAGACTAACATTTGTCACCGGAAAATGTTTCAAGTACAAAAAAAACAGTAACTGCGCATGTTCAGTGCATATCCGGCAAACTAACGTTTACTGAAGGTTTGCCGTCTCCGGCAAAATATCCACTACCTTTAACTTAAGTATTGGAAATGGTTTTTCAGTCCCAGATTCATGTCTTGTCATCATTTTTGTAATGAATGACCTTCATTGAGATGACATATGAAGAGAAAAAGTGGTTGCAACATTTTTCTGTACATCCCTCCATGGTGGAGTACAGTCAGACTTGGGTGCAAAAGGTGCTCGGTCTCGGGGAAGAAATATCAACAAAAAGTGTAGTCAACTAAGAAGTTAAGTTGGTGCAACTGCAAGTAAAAAAGATGACCTTATCCCAACTATAAATCTGGAGAAGAAAAATAGTAGTACAAATGGGCATTAGTCGATTCAAACCAGGGATTTCTCAATCCATAGCTCATCTCACTATTCGCTAGACTACTGTGGCAGAGCAATAACAACTTTTTTTAAATCCTTTAACGTACCGGTAACATAACTAGTTGACTAAGTAATAACATCAACAATTGTGTGACGTAAATTTCTTTTTTTCCCATGAATTAACATAACTTTCCCGTCGAAACAGCCAGTCACAGGGCACACGCGACAAAATAGCGTTAGGAGGTATATTGCTGGTTTTTAGGGGGGGGGGGGTGGCCTAACCGATGTACATGTCAACTAGTTTGCTGGGGTCTATTTAATGGTACATCCTAGAGAGGGACATTCTTAAACTGTTACTACTTTATATTGCAGGCTGTAGAAACTTGAAGTTCAACTAAGTCATCAAGTATGGAGGTAGTACTTCTGCTAGTCAGCATTCTACTTCTGTTTGGGCAGTACGATTGTGCCCTCCCCATTGGTAGGTGCAAAAATCTTTAGTGGATTAATCATGTTCTGGTGATTTGACTTTGTTCGTGATCTATTCCTTGTCATCCCTTGTTTACCTCAATTTTGAAGACTGAGTATGCTGGTTTGTCTAGGTTCAATAAGAAAAAGTTTCATTTTGTACCCAATCAGTTGGTGGAATTGCATTTCAGAAAACATGTTTTCATACTTGCTTATTTCTTTTCCATCCCCACTCCTTCCCAATCATAGTTTATCTTGCTGATAGCTGCAACAGCACAGTTCAAGCCAGCAACGGAGGTTTTATCGAGCCTGACAAACGCCTGCTGTACAACAGCAACCTGGACTGCTCTACGGTGCTGACCGCCGACCCGGGCAATCGCTTCCTGCTGCGTTTCTATCGCTTCAACCTAGAGGAACCAGTCAACGGCGTATGCGTGGATCACCTGACCATCTATGACGGACTGGATAGGCTCAGCCCGCTGTCTGCTGCCCTCTGTGGCCGGACAAAAGTAGCAGATATCGTGTCCAGCAATAACAGTATCAACTTTGGATTTATGACAGACGGAGACGGAAGTACGAATGGCTTTGAGATATTCTATTCAGTTTTCACTGATGGTAAGTGAAATTGTCTTTCATTTGAAAAACCAAATACTCTTATAGTCTAAATACGGGCTCCGTGCACAAGTACCCCCTCAACGGTAAGAAAGGGAGAGTTGGGGAAAACCACTTGGAGAGACATTTGAACGCATTGCCGATGACGCCTGACACCCACGCGAAGATGCTATAACCTTGTGCACATTCAGACTAAAATAAATCTTGCACTATACGTGTGCAAACCAGTAAGCACACGAGGTGCATCCCGTCCACGGGGCGCCCTCTCTTGTTCACACTAATGATGTGCAAACCCGACCCGAAACCGACCAGACCTGAAACCGACTTCTGGTCGGGTCGGGTCGATTTGTCCATCTTTTCAGTCGGGTCGGGTCGGTTTCAGTTTTGCATTCACATTTTTGGGTCGGGTGGATTTAGCCGTCTTTTGAAAAAAACCGAAATAAACCGAAATATATCGAAACAGTTGAGAAATTCAGGTGATGCAATATCATTGACAGTCACTGTGACCACAGCCCATTGTGTGGTGTGGCCACCGAGTGCACTATCAAGTTCCCACAGTATTAATTTCTCCAGTCGGATCGGATCGGGACTGACTGTGAAATAGATAGATTGTAACAGTTTTCGTGATACCGTGGGTGATACCATGCGTTTGTTCAAAAAGCGGAGTTACTCTCGATCAACCCACTGAGTATGACAGAGAGAGAGACGATGGTTTTGCAAACGAATTCATGCCACGTGGGTAAGGGCAGGCACAAAAATGTGATCACTTTGTCCAAGCCAGATATTCAGGGGTTTTTGGGGTCGGTTCGATTCGGGTCGGTTTTACCTTATTTTTTGTCGGGTTGGGTTGGGTTGGTTTAAGGGAGTTAAGATCAGTTTCGGTTCAGATTCGGTTAAAATCTCTAATATTTCGGGTCGGTTTGGCCTGGTCAACCTGACCTGATGCACATCATTAGTTCACACACAGAACCCATGTCTCGAGACCAATAAAAAATTAGAAGTTTTGGATAATGATGACTTATTCAGTCTGTTGTCTCTTCACAGCGCCTTGTACTGTTGACCAGTTTGCCTGCAACAACAGTAGATGTATTGATGCTGCACTGAAGTGTGACAGCTACAACATGTGTGGTGATAACAGCGATGAGACAGATTGTGACGGTAAAAGAACGACTCAAACTCAGAACGAAGAGACATCTTATGTCATGCTAATGAGAAGAATCAAATCTTTTTAAACTCTGACATTTCTTGTTGCGTTTTCAAGTACGTTCCCAATTGAAGTCAGTGGTGTAGTCGAGTCTGTCACATCACAGCTAAGTCCAGCCTAGGCCGGGGCGAGTAATGGATTTTGTTACTCAGGTACTCTCAAAGATTTACTCACGAGTGGTCAAGTACTCGCGAGTAGTTAACCAAATTCCCATAAAAGCAGAAAAAAAATCATATGTAGATTAGTATGACGTGAAGTAACTGTGAGCATATAGCCTAGAAGTCACACTACATTCTTCGGCACTGAAATGTCCTTACTGTGTGACATTTTGGGTTATTTACTTGAAAATGTATTTGTTGAGAGTGGATTCCTAGGTGGACAAGGGTAGGAGGGAGTGTCTTGGGTTCACGACTTAATACGTCAGGTTAAAAATGTTTGAAAGAACCAAAAAGAAATGGGAAAAGGCAGAACAGGACTTACAGATTGACTATCCGTTCCAACTGTGGCTTTGCCCACTGTATTGCAAAATGGCAATAGAGCCTGAAAGTTCACCACTGGTGGCACGCTTCTGGACCCCCCGAAAAGGAAAATTAGCATGTAAAAATTCTAAAATTTGCAATTTTTGGGGGTACATTGATCTTTTAAGAAAATTACCCTCGAAAAAGGCCTTTGAAAAATTGTTTCTAGCATCTCAATAGACTCAATTTATGGAAACTGAAAAATTGCCTGATGTGAAAGAGCAATTTCATCCCAAAAATTTACTTCTCACTTCCAAATATCTAAAATACATTTGGACTAGTGGAATTCATTGTACTCGTACAAAGATGAACATTTATGAAATAATTTTGAGGCTGTCATTGGGTGAAAACTGAAACTTAAAATGGGAGATTAAAATTTCTTTTAGGATATATACAATTTTTTGAAGGACTCATAAGCATTTAAAAAAAAACATCTGAAATGACCGCTGATATGGACTGCATTCAACCAAGCCTGACTAAATCTAGAACCCATAGCTGTAGGTAGGTAAATCTTCGCGTCGTTATAGATTCTCATTTCTCATGCAAGTACGCGATGTGAAAACAAACGTGAACAAACAGGGAGACCCGGGAACAAAAATGCCGAATGTGAATGGATAAGTAAAATTTGTTTTTACCCATCTCCTAGTTATTTCTTTTTAAAAAATCTTGACGATTGCAAGATAAAATTTCCAAACATGACTTTTTGTTGGGGTGATTATGGTCGCTTGGTTAAAAATCATTCTGTCAAAAATAATAGGAGGTGAAAGGGCAAGCAGTTCTGCCTATTTTGCCAACAAATCCTCAACATAATTTAGTGCATTTGGCCAAATTCCCTTTGCTGTAAGTCTGTTCTACCGCCCTCTGTCGTTCAATCTGAGCCATTGTGTGTAACTCATAGTAAAGAAAAATCAAGTAGAAAGGTTAAAAGATGGACAAAGGTTTTTGTGAGATTTGCAGTTCCAATTGTGTCATATTTTATTTATAGATGTTTGAAATTGTTTGTTTTATGATCTTTATGATTATAATCTATGTGCTAAAAATAAAACAAATATACAGATGCAGAAAGCTAATCTGATAATGAACATCGCAGGTCATATCAACGGAAGATGATAAGAACTATTCTAAAAATATCTGAGTATATCAAGATTTAAGACATCTGTGTCATTTGGAATATAAGCCAAGGGGTTATGTATTTCTTCTTCTTTATTCAGAGAAAATGTTTTTTCAGATACCATAATTGCACTTTTGTGCAAAATTGAGATTTAGGGCAAAAAAATTGCACTTGCATACATCCTCAAGCAGTCAATGGTCTTCCTCCTTTTATAAAACCAGTAAAATATTAGAATCTGACTATTTTTATATGCTGTACCGGTACCTCAAACTTCCTTCAAAAATGTCAGAACTCACTTGAAATCCTACATGTTATAATTATTTGTAATATCTGAGGCCAACTTCCAAAAAAGGTCTAATTGATTCCTCTGTACAGAGTTCTGCATTTTCTGTTCATTAGCTAAACCTTGTCCATGTGGGATTAAGAAGGGTGATTATGTACTTATTTTTAATTTATTTATTTATTTATTATTCTTTTTGGCACGGTTTTAATATCCTTTCTGTCATTATGAATGATCTTGCCGAGATCAAAAGATCAAGCCTCTTAAAAAAATTTATTGTTGTATTTCAGGTCAATCCAGTCAGTAAGGCCAAAAATAAATAATAGTTCTGCTTCGAATTACATGGCATTCAAAAATAGGGTAGGTAGGTAGGGAACTTTTTTTAGGGGGGCAATTTTTTGGTGTACGGTCATATGGAGGTGTCTGCGTGTAGTCAAGGGTAAAAGGCAGAAATCAATGGTTTGGGTGTTTTTTCTCATTTTCCCTGAAAAAAATTAGGGTAGGGGCAGTCAGAATAGGGTAGGGAAACCCTGAGCAGTTTGTGCTTTGCAGCAGTTTTCATTTGTCTGATTTCTATCTTTGCAGCAGCCTTTATTTTTCTGATTTCTCTCTTTTCTCGTCTCTCTTACGTCCTTTAGTTGTCGTGATTGAAGACACAGGCCTGAGTGCGGCAGCCATCGCCGGTATCGTAGCCGGTTCCCTGTGCCTGGTTCTCCTCATCATGGCCGTGATCCGAGCCATCATACACAGGTACCAGTCAAACCAACTACTCAAGCAACTCTTGGATGAGATGAGCAAACAACCGACGACCAACGAGTATTCCGACAAGGACTTCTGGGGTGATAAGAAACCCATTGAGGAATAGGGCAGACGCATGTCAAACTGGCAGTGGTGAGTTTCTTCCCGGATTTGTCCAGATTTGTCCAGATTTGTGGATTTTGGAAAAAAAGCCTATATGAGACCAAATGTGGTGAAAAATGAGGGGGAAAAAACAGAAAACCATCAATTATTACTTTTACCTTTTACTGCAACGCAGACATCTCCATATGATCGTACGCAAAAAAATTGCCCAAAAAATAAACATTCCCTACCTACCTACCGTATTTTCAAACGCCATGTAATCGGAAGCAGATGTTTTGGGGGTTTTTTTTGGCCTGAAGACTTTTCTTCCCTTTTTGGGGGGTGGGGGGTTTCAAAGGTTTTCATGAAATAGTTGTTTTGGGCAGTTTTTAGGAGTGCCTTTTTAAGCACTGCAATTTCTCCTTTCCGTAGAGTTTTTATATTTTCCCCAAATTTCACCCATGAGTATATAGTGATGGCTTGAAAGGGTATAGTTTTTAAAAAATGACGACTTTTTGAGGACACATTAGTTCATCTTTGATGTTGCTAGCACAGATACTATATTTTTTAACCTAAATGGTAACATAAACACCATTGCTGAAAGAACATTACTACTAAAACTTGTGTGGCATTCTTTTGAAAGAAAAACCAAAGATCAAGTACACACATTTTTAAAACTGCCGAAGCAATATATTTGTCCAGATTTCAAAATGTATTCAATGAAATGATTTGTGGTTGACATAATGTGCGACGAGGTTCTCAATAAGAGAGTTGTTTTAAATTAAAGAAAGTTGTCACCTTAAAATTGTATGGATATAATTGTTCTATTAGGGGACTCAAAGTGCAAACATAGATTTGGAAAAAAAAAAATTGGCAAGATGACTGCACTTTAAATTCAGTTATGTTCTTTGATGAGTGACTCAGCCAACGATGAGAATGTTAAAACAGAAGCATACTACATAATAATGTTTTACATTCCTGCTATGTGATTCTATAAATTATATTTCTTCAGTCCAACCCCATCCCCCCCCAACCGTGTGATAGCAACGCAACAACTGCACAGCCAGATACCAAGTCCAAAACCTAGTCATATACGGTCAGGCACCATTTTTGACTCCATGCTAAAAAAAAAAATCTAAAAATAAGAAATAATAAGAAATGCTGTAACATACACTCCTCCCGCCCTTTCTTATTTTTAGCGACCGGAGCACAAAATAAACATTCATGCCAGTCAGACATGATATATGTCGCCACGCTTGACTGCTCATATCAGCTGCGACATATTATACGCATGTGTGCCAAATGTGAAGCAACATAGCTCGGGTATCTGGGCCAGCTTAATGAAAATAACACATGCGCTTGCTTGGATATCAATTATCATATGTGGCCCGCCTTACAGCATCTCTCATCTTCTTCATCTGCTCCTTGTCTATAAGATAAGCAGCCTGGCCAGGAGAATAAGGAGTTCTGACAATTGAATTAGTCTAAGACAAATTGCAAAGTAATAAGATGAAATTAATATCACCTGCGCAGATTACTCTCGTTGATTCAGCCATTTTGCTCGTCCAATTTTTCCATCTGCTGCACTGAATCATGTTTATTGAATTCTTAATACACCCTGTCATGTACAGTACTACGTTACAGTTGTACAAATTGATGTGGACTTTTATATACATTAGTTAATGGAGAATCTATTACAGATATCTCCCTTATTTATCTCTGTCCTACTTTCCAAATTAAGAAACAAATGCAACATGTCAAAAATCAAGGTCATACTTGCATACAAACCACAAAACAATTAAAGAAAATAAACTCAGAAAACTAAAGAGAACAAAATCACGCACAGAATTTGAAAACCAGCTACATTTCTCTGCCAAAATTAAAATATACACTCATTAAATTTAAATCAATATTCGCCAGAATTCATCATAATTGAATGTTTGCCCTCATTAAATCCCCAACAACTGACGCACTGTCTCAAAACAGAAATGTTTATTCAAGCCTCAGACAAGTTAATTTTTAACCTTCAGTTTTCATAAATCATTCTTTAATTGGGAAACCACAGATTTGTCTGGTATGTCACATTCCTGATAACGAATGTGATGTAGTGGATTTTGTTGCAGCTGGCAAAATAATGTCTCTTAGGCCAACAACAAAAAAAAGTCGGTCTCTGGTCAGCGCGCGCGTCGATTTTAATCATGCGCGTCAATCTTTTTTTTTTCCAAAATGTTCCGCGGTAGCTCCAACAGCACCCTCTATTGCCGCACCTCCTCAATTTTTTTTTTACCAAAGAGCACCAAGGAATGGGAAATTGCACCAAGGCAAATGATCGAGAGCAACAAGGCAAATTATGGAGGACACCAATGTACATGAGGACACCAAATACCAAAATAGTACCCAACCTTGTCTGTACAATCCAAGCTTGAAGAAAAAAAAAAAAGCCAAAAAAAAAAAAAGAAACGCGTCCCAGCGTCAATTCCGGAACTTTGGTCTGACCAGAGACCGAATACTTTTTTGTGTGGCCTTACTCTCATTTTTGTTCAGAATGCAAACAAATAAATATTGAAAGAACATAATTTAATTTATTGATTTGATATTAATAATACACCGTACACCATCACCTTGTGTGATCATATCTCATATTGTAACCACTGCATACTCTAAAAAAAAAAACATCAATACATGTTATCATCCTTGCTGACAAATTTTTGACAAACAATTCTATAGGATAGTGTGTTATTGAGTTTTTAGTATAGACGATGGCATGTTTTTGTGTGATAAATATTGACATTACGTGTGCAATTAGGTGCATGGAAGGATTTTGTCTTGAAATAAGAATTGGGCAAAATGTATATTTAGTTTAAAAAGAAATATCTTCTTAATTAGCACAGGTGTATGTAAACATTGAGGATAGCTTTTGTGTATCAAAGTTTGTGTGGTTTTTTTTTAAGATTGAAAACATTTCTTAAATTTGTGGAACAAGCTGCTTTCAATCAGAAATACAGCTTTCATGCATTGAGACCTGAAGATTATTTTGGGTGTTCTTGTAAGTAAACGAGATTATTGGAAAATGAAAATATTGGGAAAAATGTATATTTTATATTTTTAGTCCATTTTCTGGGCAATGGTGTATGTTATATATCGTAATTATCCTTTGTATAAAAAAGTCTAATTGATGATTAAACCAAGGTCTTTCCTGAAATTCCGTCCACTTTATAAAACTTCAAGCCTCAGTACAATTTATGATTGTAACAAATACACAAACTGATATCAGATATCATTTGCATAAATAATTTATAAGAAAAGTGATGCCAGAAATAGCGCAATGTAAATCTGTCCTATATAGACCCCTCATTTTCCATTTTTATTCTTTTTGTTTTTAAACTGTGTATATCTTTACTGGTACGTACACCTTATGGTTGCAGACCAGTAAATCGGTCCGAAATTGCCTGCGCCGGCCAAATTACGATTTGCATGCCCTCAAAATCTTCAGTATTTGAGCATGCTGTGGGCCATGAACTTGAGGGTTTGTAAAAAAATATAGGTGGAAGCCGTGCACAGGACTGTGAGCTTGTAGTTCCGTTCAATTTGGATGAAATTGGGGCCTTTAAAGCGCTCTATTTTGCAATGGAGTATATGCTTTGTTTTTCAACATGGCGATGGGCTTCAGGACTATTTTCAGGGGTGATCATCTAAGGATGAAAATTTCTCCGAAAAGTCATTAAATTGAAAAGAAAATGAAAGATGATGAAATAAGCTTTAGTTTTTGGGTGTGTCTCGAACACCTTGGATAGTTATGAGTATTTTATGGAAGTTTATTTACTGGTCTGCAACCTTATGCAACGTCAGTCGTATACATATACATTATGCAGAGAATGTCAAGTTGTATTTATAAACGCTCCATGATGTGAGTTGAGCAATTTAAATTTGGCTTCAGATGATTTTCGACAACAACCTATGTGTCTTTTCAATGTATCTTTTCACTTTAGCAGTTTTCAATTAAAGGACTCGTAAGTTTCACATAAGAATGTTTGATTTTTATATCTCTCGTTTTGATCGAAAACTGCAACCGACCGGTTTTTTAAAAATAATTTGATTTATCTGCTCTCGCGGACGTGTCCCCCATCTCCGCCGTTGCCCCAATATGCAGTATTCCCATCCTTCCACATGTTCCGATCCTCATGTTCCCCGTCTAACCCTTCCCGACCTCCCTGGTTACCATTCCCTCCGCACGGACAGCACAAGTAACTGGTACCCGCTCGTCCCCCTGGTTTTCCATTTCTCTGTTTCCCGCCATAACTATCTGAATGCGCATGCGCCAAAAGACCAGCCGATTTGGTGCGTCCCCCTGCATCTCCACTTGTCACATTTCGAGTCCCGTCCCCGTGGCAACACCCGCCAAAACCTCTTGGCACGCAAATTCGGTGGCAGCAGCAGCAACTTTCACACGGTGCGGGTTTCCCGTATGGTCGACAGGCACATTTCTCGCAGCACCCCTTGCAGCATCCCTGACAGCATCCGCGGAGTAGATTCCGACAGCAGGCCACTCGCCATGGGATGTAGCCTGGCCGCCAGAACAGCCAATACAGAAGGAAAGCGGTTAGAATCGCTCCCAGCACGGCTAGCAAGATTTCCCAGGGAAAGTCGATAGGTTCGTCAAATGTTGCCACTATCAGATGAACAAGACAGTAAATGGGTTACTATTCCAGCCATGCTGTTATGAAATCGTTCTATCTCGCATAAAATTGATGAAATCTGTGATTGACTAGCGATAACTTGTGGTTGACTAGCGATAACTTGTGACTGACTTACGATGACCTGTAATGACTTGATCGCAACTATGATGAGATGATATAAGATTGTATTCAACAATCATGCAACTTTCTTCCATCTTTTCCAACACAAATGACTTACGAGTGCAGTTAGCTGGTGATGAGACCAGCTGATCCGTATTATCACCGCAATTATTGACGTTATCACACCGGACCGTCCTGGGCACGCACAGACCATTGCGACACTTTAATTCGGTCACCTCATCGGTACACGGTCCTGCAGAAACACAAGGCCGTGGACAACAAAATAAACAATACATAGACTTCGAGCTGAATCCCAAAATCTTAGTTAAGGACATTCTTTATACTCCGTGACTTAGTCAGTCAGTCAGTGACTCAGTTAGTGACTCAGTCAAGCAATCGGTCAATGATTCAGTCAAGCAATCGGTCAATGATTCAGTCAAGCAATCGATTCAGTCAAGCAATAATTAGTCAATGACTCGGTCAGTCAGTCAGAGACTCAGTCAAGCAATCGGTCAGTGACTCAGTCAGTCAGTCAGTCGGGAGGTAGTCTGTCATTCGGGGAGTCAGTCTGACAGTCGGTCAGTGACTCAGTCAAGCAATCAGTCGGGGAGTCAGTCAGTCATTAATCACCGACTCGGTCTGTCGGGGAGTCAGTCAGTCAGTCGGGGAGTCAGTCAATCATTGCCTCAGACAGTCGGATAGTTTGTCATTTTCCAGTCAGTCAGGACAATAGGCAGGCTTCAGCAAAATCCCTATAAACTATGGGCATTATACTAAAACTGCCAGTAACAGTATAACAAAGAAGCATTATCTGCAGTATTTTTTTATAAGCTTCATGTGCTACGTTTCACAAGGATTGTGGTGTATTTCATACCATGAAAACAATGTGTCCCCCCCCCCCCCCCCCCCCCCACTGATCAAGGGGATCCGAAGTTATTTTCCACTTAGCCTAAGTAGTGAGTAGTAGCCCTGAAGCGATTTACTTTATCGCAAAACCTACTGACTAACACTTTTTGTTTTAATTGTGTGCAGTATCATGACCAGCTCCCTTGTGAACTGCTTGCAGCACACAAAAAAACCACGAGTCTTTCAAAATGCTGTTTTTACTGATCAAAGCATATTTATCGGAGGATTTTAAAGAAGTTTAATTCTCGTGTGGATAGTTTTTGTTTTACAACTGAGCTGCATTTACCAAGCTCCCGTGACACAACCTTAGCAACCCACCCCCTCATATAATCGGCAAGATGTGTGTGCGCTGAAAATCATCTGACATATCGGACAACACCCCCAAAACGTACGAGTGAACGCACTGTTGAATGTTTCCCGCCCCTTGTTTTCAACCTGATCGGTTCGGATGGGTTGTTTGTGTCATATCGCCATCTTCGGCTTATCCAGATAATGCAGAGTGTTTGCGAAAACACTTGGGGAAGAAAGCGTGTCTGCATCCCCTGCGGAGTTTGAACCCTTTTGAGAGAAAGATGGGGGTATAGTGAGTGGAGTGTTACGGTGTTATATTTAACCTGAATCGAAGGAGGTGGTTACTATGGTAACATTGACCGTAGCCGTCGGGTGCACGGTCAGCCTGACAGTCAGAAACTGAGTCTGCGACTCGACCACATCGGATGGTAGACCCAGCACGGAGTCCCCCGTACCACAGACTGTCAGGAGGAGGTTGACGTCATTGATGACGTCACCGTCCCATATTTGGAGGTAGGAGCTGTTGCAACCCGTGCCCATGGGGGTGAAGTCTGACTGAGTGGAGTTGGTGCCGTTGGCGGGTGGCACTGTGGGGATCTCTGATGCTTCATCTATGTTAAAAAGAAAATAATAAGAGTACAGTGGTCGATAACACGTGATCAGATTACTCTCGTGCTGAGTTTGTCCTCACGTTAGATACGCATGCGCACGTGCTGGTATGGTTCTGAATAAGAGTGTTGTCTTCGTGACATTGAGCAATTGGAAACAGATCTAAGTTGAGGTTTATGCGAAAATCTGCGATTTCATGCAATTCTGTCGTTTCGTTAACTTAATCCACCCTACTGTTTGGCTGCATAGGTTACTACAGAACTGTTGATTCTGACGGTTTTCCTTAAAACAACACAGTTTTAACAGAATTTGAGAAACTCGGCCAACCTACATCCATGGTACAGGATTACCAAAGCTTCGTAATAATGTTTCCTCTGTGCCTCGCTTTCTTTTGCGCTTGCGCCCTATACACATCCATATCCACAGCCACACGTGCGTGCATGCGCATCACTTCGTGACATTCTGAGCACGGCACACTTGGTCTGACTGTTACGCAAACCAGAGTGCGGGGTGAATGTTCTAGTAGATGCTATTTATGGATCGTATTAACTAGAGTGAACGGTATTGACTTCCATTAAGGCTCAGTGTTTGTAAAGAGGGTGGCAAAAATCTCCCTTTTTATTAGTGAGGAGGAAAGGGATGGAGAAGCTTGGATGAAGAGATGCCGCCCACGCTGTGAAGTTTCCTTCCAGAAGAATCAACACATAATTTTTATATTAACTGTGATGTGAACCCACGTTAAAGGGTACATAGGATCATTTGCCTTTTCCTTTTTTTCATGTGAAGCAACACATTCGCTCAAAATCATAAGTAGGTCTGTTGAAGTTTGGGTATTGGACACGATAATAACGGTATATACACTAAGTGTTAGGACAACAGAGAAGACGTATGCACACCTTTTTAGTTAGTATCGTAACTGGATTCCGGTGTAGCATAAATTCTGGTTTTATGAAATACGGACTCACTGGTGGTATTGCGCATGCACTACGAGTCCGATTTTCGTATGACACTGTTGCTAACTTAACGCACGTAAACAAACAACTAATTTTATAAATGCAAAATAAAAATTGTTTAATCAAATGTTTTGGAGTATATTAACCTCTTTCAGGCAAAATATTCGCTAAATCACCACCAATTTGACTACCTTGTAAAATGAAGTACTCCCCGAAAGAGACTAGGAAAGCCTGGCTCGTTCTCAGGGCCTGCAACACGAATGTGCACTCGGGCTGCAAGCGGTCCCCCGTGGTTGCGGCGTCGAGGCCGTCGTGTGACCGCAATCTCCAGGCGTCTTTCTTGTCCACACGGCTGCCGCACAACTCTTGCATGCTGACTGCGTGACAGCCATGAGAAGACGATATAAAACACTTCAAGGTTCTTTGGTTATCATTATAGCATCTGTCTTAGAGAGGCAATTTTCTGTGAATTTGATAGGGATGGGTCCTCGTATTCCACTCAGGGGAAGAATTAAGTGTCCGGAGTTTTATATCCCAGCATCATTATGGAATCCTATAATTTAAGCAGTGGGCACTTATAGCTTGGAATGATGAATAATTGTATAATTTGAATGAGCCAAGTAGGCGGGTTGGTTTTTGTCTTACTGCGTAATCGTGTGCGTTCCATTTACTTATTCTTTTGTACCATCGTTTTGATATTTTGTATTAAAATGACTTTAATTTGATAGGTTTTTGTCTCATCTTGACACAATACTAGAAGAAAAAAAATGTGTCTGTTAAGCAGCTACGAGGACGACCTTTTCTTTCAGACGTGAGACTTAAGATTAATGGAAGCGTCCAATTTGTGGAGGAACATTTGAAGTTACTTAACTGATTTTTTGAAAATAGGTCTAAAAAGTCTCACTTTACATTCGTTTAGTAAGCTAGCCCGTAATGCTCAACATGATATTCTTTGGCTTTGCTCTGCAACGAAAACGAACAACAGGCACAAAGTATTGTCCTCGGGCGTGTGGAAATTCACGACTGGGAGTTGGGAAACGGAAAATTGGCTTCTTTTTTTGGACTGAAATAGTAATTTGAATGTGATAATTTGTTTTATCGTATTGAATTTTTTTTGGCCTTTTTTGATAATATAATGCAGTCATATTTAATATACACAAGACAAATAAGGAATACGAAACATGAAATGTTATAGGTGTTTTACTTTTCCGGTGGAGTTCAAGAGGACGGGCCTCCTAGCTCCAAAGTCCCCGTGGTAAATGCACCCCAGCCCCCGGAATAATCAGGTCTAGCGCCCCGCTCTTACCAGTCCGTGTACTCGCATGAGCTCCGTCCAACATGAACGCCAAAAGCATGATCATCAATTTTCCATAAATCTCCATTATATATGGTTTTCGTCACTCCACTTTCTGAACGCGTTTCCACACGAGCTTTTTTCTGCTCTTTAATTTTCGGAATTCACAGCGAATAATTTACTCGGCTTGTTCACTTCCCTTAAATGCATAATCTTGTTGTCATTAGTCGGGCGTCATGAAAGCGGCATATTTGGGTTGGGAAGTTTTTGCGCGGCGCACTTGACTTTGTCGGTTCAATAGTTGTCTTTTGCTAGCGACCGTTCCCTGGTCAATATTCAACGAGCTGAGGGACATACCGACAAGAGTGGAAGTCGGTTACTATAGAAACGTGGCATGTTCAACATCATTAGGCCTTGTAATATCGATGTTTGTAGTGACGATCTTTAGTGCTATTGAACACCATCATTTTGCTTTTTGAAAATAATTAACCGAGCCTGAAGAATTATTGACAAATACCAGCAAAATTTAATAACCTGACGGTGACGGTAGGTGTTCATATTCGTATACCTATCATTTACTATATATTTCTCAAATAAAAAGAGACTGAATAACATAAGTTTTTTTTTCCAAAAATGATCTAGTTATAAGGTAATCGGGGTTTTTAATTGTATTTTTGAATAGGTATGCATAAAATGACCTTCGTTTTTGACGTCTAAGACCGTATTGAAAATAATAATGCATTATTAAGATACTGATGGAGGCATGTTGTATAATTAGGGCTCATGATCATAAGCTAATAAAGCTGCTAATATATATATAAATATTAATTAATTATGAATATTTATGGTGGTGCATTTTTTTTCACAACGGGACGCTATAAGACTTAAGAGGCCTTTAAACAGCACATCAGTGCGTTGCAAATAGATTCAACGAGGTCCGAATTTCCAAAATCGATTTATTTTCTTAGTACATGGGGAACATTTTTTCCATAACAGGTGGTTACCCCGTTCTACAAAACTGAAAACGGAAGCAAGAGGACACATTCTGAGCCAGAAAATAATTGTGTACGTTTTACGGTGCAATTTTATTGATCTGTGCGCTCGTGAGATCGAAGTTAAAAGCAAACTGAAGTGACGACTACACTTTAAACTGCTACTCGTTCCCAGGCGCGGCGAATTATGCGCGAGTACTCAGTAAGCCTGTTTTATGATTAAATTATATATTCCGCATATCTGCGGGGTTACCACAGCACTGTGGGTAATATTTAGCGGGTTCTCTCGTCGACACAGACGGTAATTCTGGACAGCCCCCGAAAAAATCGAAGAAAATTCAGCGCTGAATTCGCTTCGGTGCCCCCAGGCCAGTAGAGCGAAACATGTGTGTTCCGTGTTTGCTTTTCCCCTTCCAAAATTGCCGTTTTGTTATTCAAACAAAAACAAATTTTCTTTCCCCTTCAGTTGAAGATTAAATGTTCGTAGAATTCCAAGACGCGATTGTGTCGATTTTGCCAGGGGAGCATTAGCACGAACCAACGGTCATTCATTAAACCCTTTTTACTCCCCGACCAAATTGTCCATCTATACATTCTCCCTTGCGTATTGCGATGCTCTCTCGTCTCCCGCACCACCCAATCTATTAAATTTATGTTCAAGAAAATCTGTTGCACTCGTACTTTATCATGCAAACAACCAGCATCGTTTATTTTCTACGCTCCCAAAAATCTCAACTGATCATTATTCATAATCAATCTCTAAACTCGCCAGCTTTCTACTCAAGCCCATGCTTATGCTCCTCTTTTTGTCCGAGACACGGAGGGTCTTTTGTGCGAAACTGTAACCGATCCTGCGTCCAGGAAATAAGATAAATACGCGCACAGGAAGTGTCTCCTTCAGGGATGCGCCATAAGATGCGTCTCCTTGCCTCCAAGAAGCTCCCACCGTAGTTCTTGGGCAGAAGCCTCCTTTTCCTTTGGCTTCGATCTTCGAGTCTGAAATTCTCCCTTATCACCCTCAAGGCTTGTAAAAAAAGATGCACTGGCGAGGCCAGACGACCACGAAGGGAGACTAGTCTTAGCTCGTCTTGCCAGGGGATGAATTAAAGCCATGTCATCAGTTGCATCGCTTTGTGTAACATTATCGCAATATCTCCTGTCGCAGTTCGGATATTGGGAGATAATAAACTTCGACAGTGAATATCCGTATTCATGATCACTTTAATCTACATTTCAGCCACAGGCCTATAAACGATCGTGCGATTTATAAAGATGATCTCATAAATGCAAAGTCATTTTTCGATTCTTATTTCTTAAGAACTTAAGTCAAAACTGTTGACGATACAGTTTTACAGTTTTCTGATTGGAGAATTATCGGTGTAAGTTTTTGACTATTTAGCTTTCACATCGAAAGACACCAGAGGCACAAACTTGCAATGTGCTGTTCAAATAGTACATATAAGAGTACTGTACTGAAGAAATAAAGGATTTTAGTGGTATTTAGACCTTTGGTTGGCACTTTTTGTCCAGCAAACTACGGAAGGTCAACGTTGCAAACAAATAAACGAAAAGACTTTTCGTTTATTTGTTTGCAACGTTGACCTTCCGTTTCCAAACATACTCATTGGATTGTTGAAAATACAAAATGACCAACAAACGCTACCACAGATTTAAAAACGCCTCCTTTGTTCATTATAAGGGTGATAATGTGCACTTTTTGGCAAAATCTGTTGCCAACCACGGTTTAAATTTATGTCCGTGTGGTAGCCCATACAAATTGGCGCTCAACGTTGACAAACAAAAGAAAGAACTATACACGGGAAACAATATCGAGGCAAGGGTATAGTCTAGCTACTTTGTTTGCATTAAGGGGAAGATACTAGATACAACATTTGTAAACATCAAAAAACGAAATGATCAAACTATCACGAAATACCTTACTGGATTGTTAGGGAGTGACAAGCTAAAGCATCCTGTAACATCGTGGCTCCTGGTGTGCTTTAGCATTTTCATGAAAAAGCGTTGGAGAAAACTGGCTTATTTTCAATAACTGCTCTTATTTTTTCCATATTTAGTTATTCCGCATTTTCTTTGCAATTGATTACACTCATATGAAGAGGTACAAGTCTGCCAGACTGATACTCTGACCTTACAATTCCCCAAAGTCTACACATTTCTCCGTTTCATTTTTATTAAGTGGTGTCAGGGAACCAGACTACAAGAACATGATTGGTTTTCTTGGTTTTTCCAGCATCTACAAGCCCAAAACGTGAAACAAGTCAGTTTCACAATAGTTGCTATATCATTCTAATCCTCCAAATCCATTTATTTCTGAAAATTGCAGCAAAAGCAAATGTTGTACTTTCATAGTGCCCCGTTCATGAGGAATCACATCATATGGACACGTCGTATTTGTCAGGGTTACGTAGGCCTATGCCTAATTACAGTACATCAAAGACACTAAAAATGCATGGCTAAGTTTATATCAAACGTTCGTTTTTACGTGGCTAATTCAACTATGAAATTGTGTTATCATCCCCACATTTTCTTTATTCAAGATTCCCGATTGATGTATATTATAAAAGATGAGAAAAGTGGAAAATGGAATTAGCATTTGCCAATATTAAGGTGTTTTTCTTTGGTTTTCCCCAAACGTTTTTAATAATTGTCCAAAGCGGAAGTACGTTTTTTTTACTCCGTGATTGAAAAGCCAATTTATTGCAGTCTCGTTGCATTTAATATTGCATTAGTCATAATACTGAACCCTCCTGTACGATTAAATTCAAAGCTCTTATAGACAGTTCAAGAATTAATCACCGGCTTGCTGAACACTATAGGGACAATCTCATGATACGGAATTCGTATAAGGTTATTACGGGAAAGGTAATAAGCAATGAACATCTCATACTGAATCATCGTGAACTCAAAGCTCTTCAACCGTTAATGAATAAATACCCGGCTTGCTAAATACCAGGGAATGGCCTCATGATATGTATAAGGTGTACGAGAAAAGGCAAGAAATTAATTCTGCTCCTAGTGCTTGGTGTTCACGCGTGGATACAGATTGCATTATGGACGCAGGAACGACGCCTGATCACAAACCGTGTAGAAATCTGGGCAGGCATTTTTGTATAGCTACAAATCGGTCCCTATTTGCCAGCGCATCTCACCCGCAAATTAATCATTGGAGGCAATAGGAATAAAAGCGAGGGGATGAGAACTCTGTACAAGGTAATGATCTAGACACGAGATGGCAATCAATACGAGCAGGAAATTCAACTTTCTAAATTTAGAGCTGGATTGTGTTTGTGGGGTTGGCTCGGCTGTTGCGACGTCCGTGGCATCAATTGCGAGGCCCGGGGTGACGGGGGGACAGGTGCGCGTAGAGGCAGGGAAGAACAGGTGAATTGCTTTGCCTGAGACACGCTCTGGTTTCCTTCCCTCGGTCTACTGAAGACTTCAACTCGGATGCCCAAATTCAATAGACGACCCATCAAACTATTAGCAAATGGCGTAAATCTGTGCCAGACTGGCTTTGCAGGGCAACGTTATTTTGAATTGAGCCACAGGACGCAGGTCTGATAAACAAGCCAGTTATCTTTCTATTTACAGCAAGGAAAACAGGCTAAAGTGTCTGGATTCCCAAAAGTAGAACCTCTCTCTCTCTCTCTCTCTCTCTCTCTCTCTGACCCCCCTAAATATATTCCGCATCACTCTTCTTCACCACAATCCCCGACCGTAGACGAAACTGAAAATTCTCACGTGATAAAAAAAAATTGATGTTTGGTAATTGTATGTATATTTAGGTGAAAGTTATTGATTTCATATCAATAAGTTTCTCCTTTAGTCATCATGGTTGCGCCACCGTGTGTTCTCAATTAGAAAATAGCAGGCAAAGATATAAATTTTAAAAAAGGAAAAAGGGTCTACTCAAATTTAGCAGAACCTTACACGACTTAATTCCACAATTTCGAAACAAATGCCAACAATTATTGTCGAACAGTTTCCAAGTCTACGGTCCTCAAAAATAAAAGAACAAAACAAAACAAAAAAACTAAGTACACAAACAAATTATAGACACCTGCACTTAAAATAA